TGCTACAAGCGTACACCGCACAGAAAGATGGCATTTTGACAGAGCTTCTTCTTCTACTATATCTCCGTGTATAAACCCGGCAGACTGCACCGCCAGGGTACGTCACGTCCTGTCCTACGTTTGTTATTCGCCACTGCCCTGACGTCATATGAAACACAAGAATAGTCAGGGAACATTCTGGGAATAATCTGGGAAAACTCTGGGAATAATCTGGGAACACTCTGGGAATAATCTGGGAACACTCTGGAAACACTGGGAATAATCTGTGAACACTGGGAATATTCTGTGAACACTCTGGGAATAATCTGGGAATAATCTGGAAACAATCTGGGAATAATCTGGGCCCATGCTGCAGTTTGACACTGAAGAAAAAGCCTCTCGACATTCACTCTGTATTGAAATATAAAAACAGATTCTGATGAATGGAATTATCTGGAACTGTATCAGAAGCAAATAATGAGACGCATTCTTGAGATTTGGAAACGTGATTCTGGAAGCACAGAGTCTACGTTTATGAATATGCAGAATGTTTTCATGAATGAGTTATTGTGAGTTCCTGTGGGGACAGAACCTCAGGTCATGGCTGCAGAGAACTGTAAATGTGTCTGAGTTAATGAATGTAACTGTAGTTCTTCACTGGAGGCTCAGAGGGTCTTGGACCCAAAGCTCCAATCACAGACCAGCACCAGGGAACCAGGCCGGTTCTTCCTGGTTCAAACTCCGTCAAAGGAAAGAGCAGACCTGATGGTCCAAAGGTATAGAGCTCTGCAGTAACTCGCTGCTGTCCCCCTTCCCAAAACTTGGGGAACAGTTAGAGTCCTGCAACGAGGAGAGCACCAGAGATCTGACACCAGTGACCCCAACACTGAGAATACTGTGGACTGCTATTGACTCACCACAGATGGGTCCCTCCTGCAGGAGACTGAAGGAACATGCTCTCAGCTCCTGACACACGCAGCATGTCCTGCAAGTGGTACAGTGATCACACAAACCTGGAACTGCTGCTGCTGTGACCCATACGTGACCTACTGTTTCCACAAACCTGGGTAAACCGTCTCCACCGCATCGACACACATCTGTAACTCTGCTTTGAGCCAAGAACCATTGAACCAGGCTCTACAGCTGCTTCTGTATTTCCACTTCCACAGTCAACTGTCGGAATGATGTCAGAAAACAACGATGTCTGTCTGCCTCCTGATTGGACACGTGACTCACATGTGATCAATGTGGACCATCACAGTCTTTAGACCCTCCTGCATCGGCAAAGAACCACTCCATATAGAACCCTAGTGGGCCAAAGTGAGAAACCTTGGGGTGGCCCGTATTGAAAGAGGAATCCAATCCCACCGATAATACTGTCCAATGAACTGCTCCACGCTGGAGATCTATTCCGAAGTGGAACATTCTCCAACTTGAGGCTGGAATATCAGAAACTGGTGAAGGTTAAAATAACCCTGCTTACTTTCAATAAATCTGCCATTGTTTTGAATGGGAGCAGTCAAAATGACGGTCCTGAGGCCCTGCTGCATGGTTTGTCTCAAAACCCCCCCAAAAAGAAACAGTGAGAGGCCCATACAGAAGGAGGGATCAGCTCCCATGGATCGGCTGAAGATCCAGGTTTCCATGACACAGAGGCAGCTGGGTCTACAGCCTCTGCCCGGTGCAGATCTGGAGTGAACGCTGCTGTCACGGCTCCGTTGTCCCGTTCATTTGACCCGTAACCCTGATTGAGAACCCAGGAGCCCACAGTACATGTGTGGAGCTTCTTATGGCTGCAGTACTTCCTGACTGTGGTGAGTGTGGAGACCAGTGGGGGCGGGTCCCACGTGGGTCAGGAGGAGGAAGGAATGGAAGCAACACAACATTAGTCATTCCTGCACCACACGCCACACCAGAACATTCTCAGAACACAACTAAAGCTTCACTGTTTCACTTTTTTTGTGAAGTACAGAAATGTAGACCCAGGACTGAGACTGTAGGACCAGGACTGAGGCTGTAGCTCCAGGACTGAGGCTGTAGATCCAGGACTGAGGCTGTAGATCCAGGACTGAGGCTGTAGATCCAGGACTGAGGCTGTAGACCCAGGACTGAGGCTGTAGCTCCAGGACTGAGGCTGTAGACCCAGGACTGAGGCTGTAGACCCAGGACTGAGGCTGTAGACCCAGGACTGAGGCTGTAGCTCCAGGACTGAGGCTGTAGATCCAGAACTGAGGCTGTAGACCCAGGACTGAGGCTGTAGACCCAGGACTGAGGCTGTAGACCCAGGACTGAGGCTGTAGACCCAGGACTGAGGCTGTAGATCGAGGACTGAGGCTGTAGACCCAGGACTGAGGCTGTAGAACCAGCCTCAGTAGTGTGTGTGTATTTTTGGGAATGTATGTGTGTGTGTGAGTGTGTATTTGTGTGGGTGTGTTATGTTTGTGCGTGAGTGCACATGTGTGTGATTGTGAGCATGTCTGTTTCTGTATTTGTGTGTTTATGTGTGCGTGTGATTTTTCCGTGTTTGTGTGCTTCTATGATTGCGTGTGAGGTACTGTGATTGTGTGTGTACATATAGTTGTGTGTGTGCATTTCTGAGATAGAGTGTGTCTGTAAGTGTGTGTGAGTGTGTGTGTGTGCGTGTGTGTGAGTGTCTGTGTGCGTGTGTGTGTTTCCCCCTGGTCTCTCCTCTCTCTCTCTGTCCACAGCTGCTCCAGACCACATCAGAATCGATCTGAGCTCTGTAAGAAAAAGTGCTTCAATCAGAGGCCATTAGTGCGTCTTTGTGTGTCTCTGTGTGTCTTTGTGTGTCTTTGTGAGTCTGTAAAGAGCACTCATCTTATCTATATACGACCTCCAGCTCCAAAATGTGACAAAACACGTCAATGGGTTCTTGAAGTCAGTAGTATTCATCTTTTTTTCTCTTAAAATATTTTGTTATATTTTGATTTTTCATATAGTATTTAAAAAAGAGTGTATCGCCTGATTGTGGTTTGCCTTTTTGACATCAGAGGCTAAGCAGTGCAGAGCTTGGTTAGTCCTGTGATGGGACACACGAACATCAGCCATGACATGTGACTATGACAGGGACCCAAAAGAAGAACCACAAAATAATATAATTTAACAAATGGCAAAATAAAATCAATCCAAAAGTAAAAACCAGGAACAAGACACGGGAAAAAACAACAACAGACCGACAACAAGAGGAGAACCAGGGTCTGACTACACACAGAGAGACACACAGGTGACACATACCTGCTGGGAGGGGCATACCATCTACAGGACAGACAGGAAGTAAAACTCACAACAACAGAACACATATAGATCAAAATAAAACCAGATGAATAAATAGAAAGTCCACTCCATGACAGAGCACAGAATGAGTGAATGATGCAACAAAACGCCAACTTTTTACGGTTTTATACAGTGCTTTTCTGGACTCTCAAAGTCTCTTCACTTCATCATTCATTCACTCAAAACACGGTTTAACTACTGATTAACTACTGCTGTAGCCACAGCTGCCCTGGGGCACACTGACAGAAGCGAGGCAACCATACTGTGCCATCGGCCCCTCCGACCACCACCAACCATTCACACACACACACACCAGACTCATTCTAAGTTTCTCGGGGGAAGTGATCAGTGGGAGTTGGTGGAGAAAGTCCCGTTGGGGGCTCAAACCCACGACCTTCAGGTTTGAGCCTTGAGACTTCATTAGACCGTGAGCCGCTGTTGTTTAGTTTGGTCACTAAAATTATCGTTCTGACACTGACATCACAGACAGAGTAAGTAGTAGAGCCCTGCACTTGAGGCCTTGGCCCGAGGGCCCCGACGGCCCGACAGCCCGAGGGCCGGGCTTCGGGCCGATGACCGCATAATGACCTCGGACACGGGCCGGGCTCGGGCTCTTCATTTTCAGAGCGGCAGAATACATATACGAACGCACCCGCTGAATATAGCGTTCTATCACGCTGTAGTGTTTGTTGTTCTGTGTAGTGTTGTCATTGACGACACATAGCGTTACTTACAGGTGTGTTGCAGCATCTGGGCATCATACAGCTGTGTATCATACAGATGTTCACTCTGCACCACTCCGCACACACAGAACTCATTGAAACACATCACTACCATGTATAACTCCGCCCTCTAGCTAAGTCTGCGTTCATATCAGTGCGCGGAACTATATACTACGATAAAACAATGTTATGGGAGGTTACAAAAAATCGGGCTTGATGCGGGTTTCGGGCCTGAAAATTCAGAAACCATATCGGCCCGGGCCGGGCTGGGGCGCCACCCCCTCGGGCCATGGCCGGGCTCGGGCCCAGATAATAGGCCAGTGCAGGGCTCTAGTAAGTAGTAAGTCATCTTTATGGGCGGCACAGTGGCTGAGTGGATAGCACTCTCGCCTCTCAGTATGAAGGTCCTGGGTTCGAATCCTGGTCGGAAAAGGATCTTTCTGAGTGGAGTTTGCATGTTCTCCGCGTACCTGCGTAGGTTTCCTCCAGGTACTCCGGTTTCCCCTACCACTAAAAACATGCTCACTAGGTAAAATCCTCCGGCTCTGGTCCTGACCAAGCCCAGCATCAACATCTGGAGAAGGTTCCCGGGCGCTGTTACTACGACAACCACTGCTCCTGACGTAAGCCTTAGTGTGAATCAGGATGGGTCAAATGCAGAGGATGAATTGCTCTACGGGGGTTAATAAAGTGCACCTTTACCTTTATTTATGTTGCGCATTTTTACAGACAAAGGTCACCCTGTAATGTTTCTTCAAATGTGAACCCCAAAGCAGAGTTCAGAACAGGCCAAAGTATTTACAGTCCAAAACAAAAAGTAGAATAGCAAACTGCAGGCGGGCTGAGGTGACAGAGGCGCTGGCTGGAGACGTGGAGGTGCAGCAACCAAGGATCTGGGAAAAAAACTGTATGAGTGATAAATAGAAATAATGACAGGAACAGGAGCACAGGACACTACCGTATGTGACGGAATCATCTGGCACTGAAGAGCAGTCCAGACTGAGCTCATGAAGCCACAGGTGTGTCTGCTGCACCATCCATGCCACACCCCCTGCACCATCCAGCCACACCCCCATCACCATCCAGCCACACCCCCATCACCATCCAGCCACACCCCCTGCACCATCCAGCCACAACCCCATCACCATCCAGCCACACCCCCATCACCACATGCTCTGCAGAGAAACACAAATGGAGGGGGGAGAAACAGAGCAACACAACCCTCGCACAGCCAAAGCTTTTCAACGTACAGAGCTCAGATATTTTTCCATTCTCTGCACACAGCAAGGACCAAATCACTTGGATTGGTCCCCAAATCTACGCAAATAAATCAGCCAGGGTTTCCATGCTGTTGTGCAGTTCAAAATGTGTGAGTTACTTGTGCCCATGGTTTGAGTCTGAGGTTGTATCATCCTGTACCATATGCATGCATCAGCTCCTGCTTCTCAGTCCTGGTTCAGCAGGAGCATGCTCTGAAAGGAGAAGAGTTGAATTTAGCATTACATTTATTTTAGAACAGCCATAAATCACAACAGTAGTTTTCTCAGAGGACTTCACAAAGCTGTCGATTTGCCAACACAGATCACAAAATCAAACACTTCAAACACAAGAAATGCAACGATGAAAAACACACAGAGTCATTGCTCCATAAGGAGCAGAGACCGGTCCATAAATGTGAAGAAAAGTCCATAAATGTCGGTGAATGTCGAATACACCAGATCAGCACCATGATGGGTGAAACAAATGCTTTAAGCAATAGATAAAAATGAAGCAGGTTTGTTTGTATGTCCACACAAATCCACTTTAATAATCTGCATGTTTCCTCACTATAGTCTGTGTGAATGTTCCTTTCTGTTTTGTTTGGGTTTGGTTATTTTTATCTGCATTTTCTCTGCATAAAGTAATATCTAACAGAATATATCAATCTAATACTGTGCATGTAAGTGTTCAGTACTTTCTGTTGGATTGTCAAACTGAAAAAACTTGTGAAAACCCAATAAACAGAATGTTGAAAAAAGAACAAAAGAAATAAAAAGCAGCATATTCCTCCAGACGTGGTGCAGTGTAGTGGTCTGAGGCGGAGGAGAAGCCAGGGCCATGGAAAGCGATCCCTCCCCAGCCACGGCAGCCACTCACACCATCGATTTTCCCAGTGTTTTGTTCCTGAGTAATCAAAGAGCTGTGAAATCCTCACCCCACAAGAGCCCGGGCCTTAGGGGCCACGTGGAGGTTCAGGTTCCACACCGCAGTGAAGTGAGAAGTGCTGCACACGAGTGAGCTGCTCTGTCTCCCGCTCAAACGACTGTCTTTCTACAGGAGGGAAAGGACTAATATTCTCTTTTTTTCAGTTTTTTCTCTCTACTTTTTGAAACATTTTAAGAACCCACTGAAGTACCTTGTTGTCTGCTTTCTCCATAAATGTTTTCATGTATTTTCTAGTTTGCTGAAGTCCTTTGTGAAGTCCTTCATATACAGTAAAGTGGCCAGGGTTCCTAAAATATCTCTCAATAAAATAAATCCTGAGTCGTAGCTGTATGTTTTAAGGCTGTAAAACCATCACACACAGAGAGAGAGACAAGAAAGAGACAAGAGAGAGAGGCTAGTGAGAGACCAAAGAGGGACCAGAGAGAGGGACCAGCGAGAGAGACCAGAGAGAGGGACAAGAGAGAAAGACCAGAGAGAGAGACCAAAGAGAGAGATCAGAGAGAGAGGGACAGTAGAGGGAGAGACCAGAGTGAGACTAAAAAGAGGGACCAGCGAGAGAGACCAGAGAGAGAGACCAGAGAGAGACCTCAGAGAGACGAGAGAGAGGGACCAGAGAGACCAGAAAGCGAGACCAGAGAGAGGGACACTAGAGAGAGAGACACTAGAGAGAGAGACAAGAGAGAGACCTGAGAGAGACAAGAGAGAGATCAGGGAGGGACCAGAGAGAGACCAGAGAGATGGACCAGAGAGACCAGAAAGCGAGACCAGAGAGAGGGACCAGAGAGAGAACAGAGAAAGATCAGATAAAACTAAAGAGAGAACACAGAGAGAGACCCAAGAGGAACCAGAGAAAGACCAGGGAGAGAGACCAGAAAGACACCACAGAGAGAGACCAGAGAGAGACCAGAGAGAGACCAGAGAAAGAGACCAGAGAGAAAGACCATAAGCGAACATAAGGCTTTTGGACGCTCTGAGGGTCAAATGGGGCGCACTCGTACCTAATTGAATCAGTCGGCTATAAATGGAAAGGCAAAGTGACCTAATTTACAAACCTATACAGTGTAATCCTGCGAGATGAAAATATGTTGGAACGACTTCCCTCTCACAAAAGGATCATCAATTCCTGCGCAATCTCCTAAAGTGAAAAAGCACTTGTTTGTGGTCTGTGCAGAGCTGAGTGGTCCGTGCATTAAAAACTCATATGAGCAGTTTTCCATAAGCAGCTTATAGAACAATGTGGACAGGGGTGTGTGTGCGTGTGTGTGTGTCTGTGTGTCTGTGTGTGGGTCTCTGTGTGTGTGTGTGTGTTTGTGTGTAAGAAACGAAGCTAAAGCTGAAGTTCTTACTGGAAGACAGGAAGAACGAAGCTCACAGCTCAAAGTCCTCCCACTTCTCGACAACAGCATCAGTCAATCACCTCACCTGGCAGCAATCAGGCACTGCCCACATCAAGCTTCATATGCCGAGGAAGCTCTATCCAAGCAGCAGCTTCATTCACGCCGCAACCCTCCTCCTCCCCATCTCCGCCTCGTTCTGGGCCACCTCTCTCATTCTTCTCCTCGCTCCCACCACCAGGGTCTAGGCCCCGGGGGATTTCATCTCATAATCTCTTGCATGCAACCATGCAGTGCTAGGCCGTGGTCTAAACGCCAAATTCTAACCACATTCTGTGCAGCAACAATAAATGTAATCTTGAAAATATTGTCCTCAGAGTCATATGTGTAATTTATGTAGAGTCAGATTACTGCCAACAATATACAATTCTAATAAGATCATGTTTTCTCCGTTCGAGTCTCTCCAGATTGATCTCTGAGTAGATGCTCCACTCTCACGTGTGATAATAAAAACATAGACTTTTTTAAGTTTTAGGCATTTTATTTAAATTAAGTAAACACAGGGGCCCCCCTCACACTGGGGCCTCACACTGGGGCCTCACTCTGTCGCGTGTCTGTGGATTCTGACGGCAGCTGCAGATCCTCCGATGTTTTCATAAAAAACTGTCTCCTCCTGAAAACACAATAGAAGCGGTCACTCTGTAGCGCCCCCTGTGGTCAGTGTTATATATGTAGAAGCTGACGAACAGACATTTTGGCACAAATGAACTCTCATACTCACATTGTCGTCGCGCCAAACTCTGCGTCCTGTAAAAAAAATACATATACAGTAAAAATGTGTGTTTCCATGTTCTGTTCAGAGACTTTAACCTCCCTCCTTGATCCAGTGATTGTTCGATCTAATCTAATTTGATTTTCTAATCTGCTATTGGCAAATCAACGTTTGTGTAACAGCTGCGGAAGTTCACGGACCAGCGCTGGGACCTGGTCCTGGACCTGGTGTGGTTTGCTCTGGTCTCTCTGTGCCCGGCACAGATGGACACAGGTTTGAGAGCTCACAGACAGGAGCCAGTGGATCATGAAAGGAAATGTAAAATTGTATGTTTGTACTGAAGGAAGTAAGTAACATTTATTTATATAGCACATTTCACAGACCAAGGTCACCAAAGAACTGTACAATGTTTGTAGAGTTCAGATATTTTTCCATTCTCTTCACACGGTGATGACGGTGAACACACTGGACACACTGGAGCATCAAAGCCCTCGACCAACACCATTCATTCACTCACTCAGTACATTCAGACCTATTATACTGTACGTGTTTTTAGCAGTAGGGGATACCGGAGCACCTGGAGGAAACCTACGCAGGCACAACGAGAACATTTAGACTCTACACAGAAAGGCCTGAAGGAGGAATCAAACCCAGGACCTTCTTGCGGTGAAACACAAGCTCGAACAGCTGGGCCACCGTGGAGGATGGACCAGACTGAGGATGGAGCCCTGAGGAGCCCCAGACTGACCTGAGCTGTAGGCCCAGACGAGGGTCAGCAGCAGAGCGGTCAGCAGAACCCCGGCCATGGTGCGACCTGAGACAACACAAGATGATTTCACCGAGTCCCTGAACCAGGATCTGACAATATTCACTTTTCATGTGTTTCAAATGTGGAGCCGAGAGGAAAACACGTGGACGGAGAGTTTAATGCCACTGGATGTCAGAGTGAGCAACACTCCCATCCAGTGGCAGGAGTGTGACATCACATTTGGAGCATCTTGAGGCAGAGATACACAAACCCGGCAGGTGTGTGTAAGTTCCAACTGGGTACCTCCTCAATGCTGCTCCGTTGGGCCCTGAAATCCTGGTGTGGCTTGAGGTTGACCCGGTGCTGATTGGCTAAAGCTAGAACAGGCTCTGACAGCAGCAGAAAGCTAGCCTGGCTCTGCCAGACCCTTGTAGTTCCGCCATGCTCCACCAGAGGCGTTTGGCTGAACCACATGGGTCTGGTATCGTGCCCATATCGAACGCCTTCCCCAGATTATTTTTTAATCGACCTATCAGGACTGCCGGTGTTACGTGGGGTTTGCACTGCCTCCTCAAGCTTCTCTCATGCAGTAGCGAGAGGAATCCAAGATGGCGGACGTAAAGTCCGCGAATCTTTTTAAAAGAGTAAATACAATCGAATTAAGGCACGTATGTCACTTTTAATGCAATTTGAGGCGAGATGTTGATGGTTCTATGTTGATATACTGTATGTGTGTTTTAAGAGTCAAATGTTCCTGTAAAGTTTGGTTGAAGCACTGGTTCAGTGTTCCTGTTTACACACTATGCAGCAGGGTTGCCAGGTTTGGTGGTTCCCGCATATTTTTTTCCAAGAGACTCGTAGGTATTAAATAAACAGAAAGACAATAAACAGAATCATGATAGCCCAAGTTGATTATATTACGTTTTTAGCCAAAAAATCATTTTGAGTGTTTTTTTTGTGGGTATTCTCGTGGATTTTGGGTTGGAGAATCTTGCTGGGATTTGCTTTTCCCACAAGTTCCACCCCCTCCTTTTACCATGAGTCCTGTGGTGGAAACGTGACTATTAATGGACGTTTTGCACAAGTTCCATCTCCGTAGCGGTCCTCCTACTGATATATGTATCAAGTTTGGCTATAGACACTATTTTATTGAGCAAATATGTAGCTATATTTTGTTGTATGATTGTAACAGTGTGTTTGAACAAAGGTTACACAACTTGTTTTTGAAGAAAGAGGCAAAACGTCACAGTCACAGTCCGAGCATTCACAGTGTAAGGAATTTGAAAGCCAGAGAGAGGGGGGGGTGACAGAGATGTGGCGAGTTCTCACCAGAGTCTGTGGATCCTTCTGTGAGGAACTCGTCTGGATCCTCTGTGGACACATGGAGATGAACAGATCTTCCATTGTCATCATGATTGTAATAATAATAAATAATGCATTGGTTTTATAAATTATTATTCACCAACTCCACACGGAGGTGACAAACTACTGGAACCAGTCTGTGCCCATTGGCCCCTCCCACCACCACCAACCAGTCACACACCAGACACAATCTATGTGGGTTAAGTGTCTTGCATAAGGACACAACAGTTTGGCACTTTACAGCTGCAGCCGACCCCCGTCTGTGTTCTCAGAGGTCTCCCATCACAGTACTGACCAGACCCTGTCCTGTTTAGCAATGTCTGAGGGATCTGGCTTTCACCTGCAGAGGGCACCACATCTGAAGATGAGGGGAGAGAGGAGGAGAGAGAGAAGAAAGAACAGAGAGGAGAAAGAGGTAGGAGAGAGAGGATGAGAGAGATGAGAGGAGAGAGAGAGATTCCCAAAGTTATCATAAAAGATGTTGAAGCTGCTCCTCCACAATCTACAACGATCTCTCTTTGGAACATGTGATGTCACATGAACATTTATTGCACATAATTTATGTTTGAAAATTCAGGTAGTTTTGCAACCCTACTCATATCCCCCAAAGGGTCAAATAGTGACTCACCGGGCTCTGGTCGGATCCTCTCACCTGGAGCCTCTTTGATGAAGCTGAAGATGTGACTCTTTCCTTCTTTTATCACTTCACATTTGAACAGATGTTTTTCTTTATAAAGAAAATGGTCGTCTGGGACAATGACGATAGATCTGTCCCTCGGGTTTGGGATTCTCTTCTCTGTGATTTCTGCCTCCACGACTCTTCCTTGATACAACCATCTCACTCTGACGTCACGCACAGGACTGAAGACCTCACAGTCGAGCTTGGAACTCTGCTGCTCCTCTTCCTCAGTCACTGGAAGAACATGCAAATATGGTTGATTTTCTCTCACAAAGACAGAACTGCTTACCAAAAAACATCACAAACAAGAATCTTCACTCAAGCCTGAACTTGGAGCTGACACACACACACAAACACACATACACGCTCACACACATACAAACAAAGACACACACACCGACACAAACACACACACATACACACACACAAACAAAGACACACACACACCGACACAAACACACATACACACACACAAACACACACAGTGATGATCTGCAACACTCACATGAGACCACAGTCAGACGCACAGGAACAGAAGAGGTCGGAGCCCCAACTGGAGACTCGTACTGTTGACATAGATAGTCTGCTCCATCTTCAGTCTGAACATCCTGGATCTTCAGCCCACAGTCAGTGAGACTCAGAAGACTGGACAGATCTGAGGACACTTCGGGGCCGGGCCGTCCCAGTTTGAAGAGCTCCACTGTAGTTCTTTCAGCCTTGACCCAATCAGTCTTTTTGCACTGAGTCTGCGGCAGCTGGACCTCACCACAGACTACAGTCACCTCTGCTCCTACTCTCACCACCTCAGAACATTCTGTGGACACACATGAAACTCAAGGAAAACCAAAAGAAACTCAGTCATTTTTAAAATCATAAATGTCTGACCAGTGCAGAGCAGAGGAAAGAGCAGCAGCCGCATCAGCAGTGGTCCACGCTCGGCCATCGTCTCAGTCTCAGTCTCAGTCTTCCTTCTAACACTTCAGTTTATAGATTCTGTTTCTGCCACATCCTGTTCTTTCTGCTAAAGCTGTAGAGAAGTGGTTATCACAGATCAGCTCATCGCACCAGTAATAATCACCATTTCCCTCTAAGTCTAACTGTTCACAGAGCAATAGCAACAGGTCTAAGACAGGACTAAAGCAGGACAAAAGCAGGTCTAAAGCTGGTCTAAATCAGAACTAAAGCGGCTCCCAGGGGCCCATCTCGAGACCCTGTAATGTTGACGCATTATTTTGACTTTGTGTAGTTTTAAACGCTATTATTGAAAAGGCCAATTAGGGACAATCCCTTAAAAGGAGAAGATGCTTCATTATTAGGCAAGACAAGGCAAGTTTATTTATATTGCACAATTCATACACAAGGCAACTCAAAGTGCTGAACAAAAAAAGAAAGCATTAAAATCATAAATAATCACAGAACATTAAAAAGAAAGATAAAAGTATAAAATCCCTCAGTTGTATGCACAGCTAAACAGAACTGTCTTTAACCTGGTTTTAAACATTGTCAGAGAAGAGAAGATCTTCAGGAAGACTGTTCCAGATTTTAGCAGCATGAATCTGAAAAGCAGCCTCCCCATGTTTAGTTCTGACTCTGGGCACTAACAGGAGTCCAGTCCCTGTGCTCCTCAGAGTCCGGGCTGGTTCATATGGGACTAACATGTCACTAATATATTTTGGTGCAAGGCCATGGAGAGACTTGTACACAAGCAGAGCTGTTTTAAAGTCTATTCTCTGAGCCACAGGAAGCCAGTGCAGAGACCTGAGGACCGGACTAATATGGTCGTACTTCCTGTTTCTAGTCAGGACTCGAGCTTCTGCATTTTGAATGTACTGCAGCTGTTTTACAGCCTGTTTGGACAGACCTGTGAGCAGGCCATTGCAGTAGTCTAACCTACTGGAGACAAATGCATGGATAAGAATCTCCAAGTCTGCTTTAGACACTAAGTTTTTGATCCTGGCAATGTTTTTAGATGGTAAAAAGCTGCTGATGTTACTGATTTGATGTGGCTATTAAAATTTAAGTCTGAGTCTAGTATTACCCCTAGATTTCTGACCTTGTTTGAAGGTTTTAGGGAGAGAGACTGTAGATGACAGATGACGCTCTCTCTTTGTTTCTGGGGACCAAAGACAATCATTTCAGTTTTGTCCGCGTTTAGCTGAAGGAAGTTGTTTTGCATCCACTCACTGATCTGTTGGATACAGTGAAGGAGTGAGTCCACTGGTCCATGTTCTCCTGCAGTCAGTGAGACATAGATCTGAGTGTCGTCTGCATAGTTATGATAGGACACTTCGTTTCTGCGTATTAACTGACCTAACGGCAGCATGTAGAGATTGAACAGAAGAGGTCCCAGGATCGACCCCTGTGGTACTCCACAGGTCAGGGCCATATGATCTGAGACACAGTTTCCAATCTCCACAAAGTACTTCCTGTCTTCAAGGTAAGACCTAAACCAACTTAGGGCGGTGCCAGCGACGCCAACCCAGTCCTCTAGTCTCTGTAAGAGGATCTCATGGTCGACAGTGTCAAAGGCAGCACTCAGATCGACCAGGATTAAGATTGAGACTTTGCCTGCGTCAGTGTTTAGCCGGATATCGTTTGTAACCTTAACGAGAGCAGTCTCAGTGCTGTGGTGGGGTCTAAAGCCGGACTGAAACATATCAAATGAGTTGTTGATTATAAGAAATCTAGTAAGCTGTAGGTAGACAACTTTATCAAGGACTTTCCCCATAAATGGCAGATTTGAGATGGGACGATAGTTGTTAAGTACCGGAGCATCCAGACTGCTCTTTTTTAGCAGGGGCCTGATGACTGCAGTTTTCAGGGCCTTTGGGAATATTCCAGAATGAAGGGACATGTTTACTATCTGTGTGAGTGAAGGTAACAGACTGCTCAGAACAGACTTCAGAAATCTAGTGGGTAGTACATCCAGGCTGCATGTGGAGGAGCTCAAACTGGAGATTATCTCTTGGACATTTTTATCACCTACAGGTGCAAAGTGAGTTAGCTCAAAGAGTCTTTCAGGCTGTTGGATTGTTATCTGTGGATTGGAGACAATGGCGTTTTTGATGCCTTGAACCTTGTCATTGAAAAAGTTTGCAAACTCATTGCATTTACGTTTGGAAGTTAGCTCTAATGGAAGCTGAACAGGGGAGTTTGTTAATCTATTAACTGTTGAGAACAGAACACGCAGATTGTTGCTGCAGCCTTCAATCATTTCAGAAAAGTACCTTTCTCTCGTACTACGTAGCACCCGATTAAACTCACACAACTTAAATTTGAAGATCTCGTAATACATCTGTGCATACAACTGATAAAATCTGTGCATACAACTGAAAGCAACTCGGTAAAACTATCAATAAAACTGTGACATGACTGCGATGGCTTGTATAGGACAATGAAGAGTATTGAATTATTAATAAGTATTAATAAGAGTATATTAGGTGTGAGCAGAAAGGAGCTAGGACCCAGGAGGAAGGAATGTCTTCTGGTTCTATTAGAATGAACGTGTGTGATCTACTGAGATCACACACTGAGATCTACTGAGGCTGTAGATCAGCCCTAGATCTACAGCCTCAGTCCTGGATCTACAATCTCAGTCCTGGGTCTACAGCCTCAGTCCTTGATCTACAGCCTCGCCTCAGTCCTGGATCTACAGCCTCAGTCCTGGGTCTACAGCCTCAGTCCTGGATCCACAGCCTCAGTCCTGGGTCTACAGCCTCAGTCCTGGATCTACAGCCTCAGTCCTGGATCTACAGCCTCAGTCCTGGATCTACAGCCTCAGTCCTGGATCTACAGCCTCAGTCCTGGATCTACAGCCTCAGTCCTGGATCTACAGCCTCAGTCCTGGGTCTACAGCCTCAGTCCTGGGTCTACAGCCTCAGTCCTGGGTTTTAGGGCTCTACACAAGCACATTGAATTGTTTCGTGTATGTACTGGGTCTGATCCTAAAATGTTCTCTTACATTCAAAGCTGTTTTTGTGGTTTTTTTATAAATATATATTGCACTTTTATTGTTATGAGCTCTTTTTATAAATCTGGAACTTCCCCTCGGAGAGATGACTGAAGGTTCTCTGGTTTCACCTGTTTTGTATTAATAAGACTTTTGCCTGTTTTCTGTCTATAGAATTAATGTAATCCCACAGTGTGATGGAAACCACACAAACATCTGCGGAGGCCTTGGCATGAGGCACTTAACCTCCACAAATTAAAATTTCAAACATATTTCAGACGGTGTGCATTATTAACGATGCTGTGTCTCAGTGGTGTCTGGACAGTCGGGGGAGGGACCGTCCACTCACTCACCGTGACTTATCTTCAGCCACAGACCTTGAACTGTGTCTCTACATATTAAAGAACAAATACTGTGCAATATTTGTGTTATTTTTCATTTACAGGTTCGGCAGCTATGGTTTCCACCGTTTTGACGCGCCTCCTTGGTTTGACAGTTTTAGTGGATAGCACCGTAGTGGATAGGCCCTCAACTAAAATATGGAACAAGGAGTTAAAGCCAAATTATATTGTTTAAAGGAAAGTGGCAGTTGATGGTCGATTCTCGGATTCAGGATGAGCAGTGTGATTTTCGTCCCGGCCGTGGAACACTGGACCAGCTCTATACTCTCCATCGGATACTCGAGGGTTCATGGAAGTTCGCCCAACCTGTCCACATGTGCTTTGTGGATTTGGAGAATCGTTCGACCGTGTTCCCCGGGGTGTCCTTTGGGGGGTTCTCCGGGAGTACGGGGTCTGGGGTCCTCTGCTGAGGGCCGTCTGGTCCCTCTATGATCGGAGTTCGAGCTGCGTTCACATTGCCGACAGTAAGTCAGACCTGTTCCCGGTGCATGTTGGCCTCCGCCAAGGCTGCCCTTTGTCACCAGCCAGGGGTCGGAGAGGGTCCGGTTCGGAGACCACAGGATTTCATCTCTACTGTTTGCGGACGATGTTGTCCTGTTGGCTCCAACGAACCAGGACCTGCAACATGCACTGGGACGGTTTGCAGCCGAGTGTGATGCGGCTGGGATGGGAATCAGCACCTCCAAATCTGAGGCCATGGTGCTCGACCAGAAAAAGGTGCCTTGCCCTCTGCAGGTGGTTGGAGAGGTCCTTCCTCAAGTGGAGGAGTTCAAGTATCTCAGGGTCTTGTTCACGAGTGAGGGAAGGATGGAGCGTGAGATTGACAGGCGGATCGGTGCAGCGTGCGCAGTGATGCGGTCGCTCTCGATTTACCGGTCAATCTTCCGGCAGATTTCTAATGCCTAGCGTACATCGGACTGGCAACTGATTATATCCGTTGCATATGAGTTGCTGCCCCGCACACATCGACAATCTGGTGAAAATGGACAACTCCCAGTAGCAGGCCAGTCTCGGGAATAACAGTGCGTACATCGACAGCAACTGGCCTCAACTACAGTGTTTTCTGCATAAACTGTAGAGGGCGCGCAATACACGCAATACACACATGTTGTTGGAGCGCGCCATGGATCTATTAGGAGCGCGCACATTGGGTGATATCTCCGGATCTGAAGACAACTAGTTGCCGAAAAGTAGAACACGGGCAACTGACTGAATCCGGAGATTGAGTTGTGAGTCGATGTGAGTTGTAAGAGCGCTCACATCGACCGATTTCAGCAACTGATCATCTCCTCTCAGTCGCCAAAAGCCGCCTTGCAACTAGTTGTCTCCAGTTACTCTGTCGATGTACGCTAGGCTTAAGGCTGCAAGAGCGAGATGGAGAGAGGGAGATGGAGAGAGCGATATAGGGAGAGTGAGATGGAGATAGCAAGGTGGAGAGAAGGAGATGGAGAGAGCGAGATGGAGAGAGGGAGATGGAGAGAGCAAGATGGAGTGAGCGAGATGGAGAGAGCGAGATGGAGAGAGCGAGATGGAGTGAGCGAGATGGAGAGAGCGAGATGGAGTGAGCAAGGTGGAGAGGGCGAGATGGAGTGA